TCACTGAAGCCTCATCAGAAATGGTCCCAAATGAAGGATGGCTGTCAAGAATCCATTCTTAAGGAAGTGAAGCAGGGAGAAAAGGCTGAGGGATGCCAAATGACACACAAATTGGACTGAAAATCACTGGTAACAGGTCTTATGGAGTGATGAATCCAAATGTGACATTCTTGGTTCAAATAATCAGAGGTCAGGAGAGAGAAGCCCAACAGTGAGAGTCTACAGCCATCTGGAAAACACGGTGAAGGCTCGTTCATTTTAGACAGTGGGGTTGGGGATCTTTTGAAATTGATGGATTTATGAATTCAGATTTGACCAAATGCAACACCATCTGTAAACAGTGTGATTGGCAATGGCTTCATCTTTCAGCACAATGATTCCAAATGAACTGCCAGTGCAGTAAAAACATACCTGGACAGAAAGGCACACAATGGAACAATATCAGTCATTGATTGGCCTCCCCGGAGCTGTGACCTCTCTGGGATCATCTTTACAGAAAATGTGAAAGAAAAAATCAGCCAACATCCAAAGAAGAGCTTTGAATCTCCTTCAGGAGGCCTGGAGAATTGTTCCTGAAGACTACTTCCAGAAATAAGAAGAGTTCAGGCTGTGATGAAGAATAAAGGCAGTCATACCACATACTAATTTCAAGCTCATTAGAACTGAACAAACTTTGTTTTTTCCTCACGTTTTGATAAATAACTGTATCTACTTCCCATTTTCCAGGAAGAATAAAAAGAAATGACATGTACTGTATACTGTATCTCCCCAGCTAGACAACCTTCCTAAAAGAACTATAAGACATTGATTTATGTGGCTCCAGTCAGTTGTTTTGGGATTTTCTTTGCCACCAACCATGAAGTTAAAAGGGAAACACTTTCACGGAAAGTATGCAGACATGTGAAAGTGTTTAATCACTAAGCTCCTGTGGGCGCATGCCTGGGGGATTTTCGAAGTGGCATTGGGAGCATGCTGTCAACACAAAGGCATCTGTGGACACACTTATGGATTGCACATAAACAAACACACACACAGAATCAAAGATGTATTAGTATTCACTGACAATTTATGAGAATTGACAAACGATCCTGTTGTGCGTCTTCAGTCGAGAGTTAGCTAAAGAAAAGTTTCTAAAGAAGAGGAAGACAATCTATGGTTTGTATATATCCTGCCTTTACAGGTGCTTCATCTCATTTGAGCTGAGCCACGTCGCAATCAGTACATCTGGGGACTTCTACTATCAGCAATCGCAAACGCAGATATAGTCCCAGCCCCGGTAAATAATAACTTTGAGTCTTTGCTGTGTGTACGTAGCTCTTCGCAATCAATATTGTAAGAAAATCACCATCTAGGTCAAGGCAGCTAAAGGAGAGAGACGCTTTTTAGACACTTTTTTTACCAGCGGGTTGAAAAAGAAATCTTTAGCGCTCCCAGTCACACATAAAAAGCCATCTGATGTGCCTTCCCCGGCTGAGCAAAACAAATTTGTTTCCTCCATTTTACCGTGTGATTTAAACATGCTTAATATGGTTTATCAAATAAATCCTAGACATAAACTGGATTGATTAAATCCACAGAAACCTTCAAAAAAAGAAAAAGAAAAAAAAGAAACATCATTATCTGAGCTCTGGTGTGCAAATCAGTCAGGGTAGAAAGAAGAATCTGTAAAGGGCCCTTTCTTTTTCTTCTGATGACATGTGCCGTGTGTAATCACGCTACAATGACTGCAGCCTTTTCAGATTTGTGTGTCTAGAGGACAAACAGAGGCTGGGACACTTTGATTATGAGGGAGAGCGAGGGCAGTGCAGCTGCTGTCTGCGCTAACAGCATCTCCTCTGCTTCATTAGATATCGCCTGTGTCTGTGTTGAGTCTCGATGTTTGTTTCAGGCGATGGGAAACATGAATCAAAGCATTCTGAGGTTTGCTCTCTTGCTTCCTGTGTGCAGAGAAAGAAAGCACTTATACAGCAACAAAATCCTCTCCAGGGACTGGAGAGAGGAGTGAGGGGGAAACGGAGCAACGCAGCACTTTGATTCCTGTCCCCAATGGTCTGAAATCCAGAAATGATAGCTGTATGTACAGAGTCACGTGGGAGCTGGTAAAATTGATAGGATGGCAAAGGGTTGGTTTTTTTTTACACAGCTCAAACTGCTTTAAAGAGTTGGGAGCAAAGCCAAAGAGTGAGGCTGAAAAGAATGAGAGAAAATGATCCTGTAGTTTCTTTGCTGTGCAAACATCACTGAGAGAGATGACAGGATAAAATGTGCGCTGTCGAGACCATACAGAGGTGTCAGGACTGATTAACAGAAAAGATGCATCATTGTCCTCAACATTAGATGCTGTATTTTTAGCTGATTTGTAACATCTAGTTATTAGAAGGTGAGATTTTCATTCGTGAGACATTTTCAAGTTTACATACTGGGATATCTTTTAAAGAAACAAATGTATACAACCTGTCAGCCAAGAAAAACTGCTCTTTTTTTTTTTTTGTTTAAAATCGAGAGATGTTCTCAGCTGTCCTCAAATACGATGATAATATGTTATAAACGTGAAGAAAGGACTTTGTTACCTGTACTTGATTGACCTCTTACCGGTCAGTCCACTAAGTCATGACTTTTCTTTGTTTTGAAAACTTGTTTGGTGACCTGTTGCATGTCACACCCCTCTCTTCTCTTGTTCCACATCTCTGAACCATACATATTTCTATTCATTCACATCTTATATTTGCCAAATAAAGTATCCAACACATGAAATAGACTTCCACACATACAGATGAACTTTGAAATGTGTATCTTTACTCATAAATCTTTGGATCTTGCTCTTTGTTTTTCAGTAGCTTTCATCTTTTGTTCCACATGCAGTAACACGGGCTGCCAGGGTGGATTAAAAGCCTTCTTTTCCTGGTCTTCAGTGGCCCATCATTTCTCTTGTTGCTTCACAGAAGCTGGGGGTCCCCGAGGTCAGCCCCTTGACAAATGGACCAACTCATTGTGTGAACCAAGAAGGAAAGGAGACCGAAAGAGTGAAAGGATATTTGTTGCTACCACGGTGAGTAGAGACCCTGCCATTTGCTTTTTTTCTGACCGACGCCCACTTGAGGAAACTCCAAGCTGTGCAGCACACATGGAGACAGCGGCTTGAGAGGCCCACTTAATGCCGCCATCACTTACACACACACACCATAATCCCACGGGACCTCTGTCTCCCCCTTAAAAGTGAGGCTGACACGAGCCTCAGTCTCAACCCTAAAAATCCCAGCTGACCACTGCACTCACGCACACACACACATAAATATGCACACAATTCCCCACATGAGAAAGTGGGGGGCCCTATGCCGAGCAGGTGATGCAGTAGTCGCACACACTGCAAGCTGTGTGGGCATAAGTGTGCGTGTGTTTGTGTGATAGAGGGGGGCTCGTTTGCCGTCTGTCAGTCCTGTCAGACCTGCTGCTTGCATGATCAGCCAGTCGCTGTTTCTCTTCTCCTGGGGTTTCTCGGTTGTGTGTGTCTGTGCATGTGTGTGTGCATGGTGGCATGTGTTTCTTACAAGACTGCTCTGACTCACAGATCAATCCATCCAGGTGTATCGTCCTAATTGTATTACTGGGGCCGATATCAGTTAATGACACACCCACCACAGCCCCCACTTCTCCACGAGTTTGGTTTGACAGCGATTCGACCTGGTTACACGTTATGCCGTCATACCCAGCGGGCGAAGGATTTAAAGCTGCACTAGGCAAGATTTTGATCTGAAAATATATTTATCAACTCATCCTAATTCATAAACTGGGACTGGAGGGAAAAAAGACTCAGGATTCAAGTCAATTAACCCCATGAAACTCTGATGCTACTTTTTTGTGGAACTGATCAAAGTTTAGCAGTATTTTGAAACTATAAAAAATATTAAGTAGGCACTTGTGATAGCTGAACAGAAAATATTTGCATCATATTTCTAAAATCTAAATGGTTTTGGTTTTTTTTGTTTTTGTAGTCATTTCCTTTACCAGTTTGCAAATTCCCCCAGCGCAGGTTTAAATCACTTCTGTTAGTGATTAAGCCACTGTTACAGCACATTTACAATGATAAGGTCATGATCCATGGGCAATTCACACTAAAGCGCACTAAATATGGAGTTTTTAATATTAAATATCGTTGCCTCTGGTGCAATCCTGCAATCCTGATCTTGCTAAATCTTTCCTATGTTTCATGACCTTTAAGCAAGACAATGCCGTTTTTAACAGATTAATATATCTGTGTTGCTTGGAGCGGATAATAAAGATTAAGACATAGGTCACCAACAGTTCACACACAGATGAGCACCTTCAGAGACAACACAGTTCCACGATGAGTGAAACATGCATATGAAAAGTCAAGCCTAAAGGACTAAAGGTTGTGATACATACCTTGTCAAACAGAGACTTCCATTGCTGAGACAAGTAAAAAGAGAAAAAGAGTGTGTGAAGCAATGAATAAGAGGAATAGATGGGAAGAAAAATAAACTCAGAAACAGGTACCAGACAGGAGGGAAGCACCTGTTTGATAATGATGAATCTCGGCCAAAAGGGCTTCCTTCACTAAGCATTTGCCATTATTGCAGTCTTGCGATCACATGCAGCTATTATCTGATCATTACGGTCAATGAGCCGCAGCAAAAGATAACAAGGTACCAAAAGTGTGCCTCATTATGTGTAAAAGGTAGTATGCTGTGTGCGTGTGTCTTTGGAAAAGATGAAGCAAAGTGCTGGGTGCTTTTACTAACTCGGCTCTCAAAAGAATAAACAGTATTTTAAATTTCATCTCGTGTCTTTGTAAAACGCTTGTTTTTGTCAGTTGTGCCACTGAATTTAGGGACAAATGACTTTCTGAAATTAATTTTAGAGGGACTGTGTTTAACTTCGCTCAAAGAAAAAGAAGCTGAAGGTCCTGATTCATAACTGTGAAAATGTCAAAAGGTTACAGGGGTCATGTGTTCACTTGACGCCACATTGTGTAGACCTACTTCTTCTGGAGCCACTGGGATGACTTCGGTACTTTCCAAAACCTCGATCTCCTCGCCTTCTGCGTTGGCCGCCACCGCCGGAGAGATGTTCACCGGCGCCTCCCGGGTTCCGCCTGTCATTCTCAGGCTGCTCTTCTCCATACACCCACGGAGAGCAGCGATGCGGTCCTTAGGAACGACTCCACATGCTGTAGTTTAAAATCCCATGCTCCCGCCGCGATGAATTAAACGTGTGCGCACTCCGGTTATGCCCGACGCACTTTCACATAGACAGAGCAAGCAAAGCTTCATCCGCAAGGGAGAAGTTGACGTCTGACAGTTTAGTAAAAGCCAGTTAGGGGATAAAAAAAAGTATCCATACAGTGTCACACAATTTGTCAATACATCGTTAGTCAGCAGTGACAAAAGGTTTTCAGAGGTGGAGATGAGTCTTTCCGCGAAAAGAGGCGACGATCCAAGTTTGCGATGCTGGGGACGCACATTGGCAGAGCGAGTCTTCTCACTTCGAGAGGTGCGACGCAGCAGCAGCAGAACGCAGATCCAACTGAAAAAAAATAATTACATCATCAGTAGTGACAACAACATGAAACCCAGAAAAGGGATGACGACATCGACCTATGAAGTCTCGTATGGCTTCTCCGGGCAGAGGTAAAAGTCTACTTCAGAAGAGTGGGCACATGGCACACTGGGAGAGAAGTTCAGTTATGTGCCAGCTTCTTTTTTGTGGTGCGTCACGTTACCTGGCACGCTGTTTTCTGCCGGTCGACGGCGCAGAGCGGGAAAGGCCGTCTGGTTTCTCCACCGTGCGCCGTGCAAGAAACCTCACTAGGGGGCGGGGGCCACAAAACGACCGCCTCAGACGGGATGGTTGGATCAGCTCCAGGAGACGCCGCGACTCTGCTCCATCCGCATACGTCCTTCCAGGCACAGAGGGAGTGAAGAAGAGAGGGAAGGTGGGGGCGGAGAGATAAGGGAAGGGAGGGAGAAAGGGAGAGATTTGGCCGGCGGTGAGGAGGGATCACCAGCCACTGCCTCTCGGGGGTTTCGAGGAACTCCGGCTCCCTGAGCGAGCAGCTGGCTGTAGCTGACTCGTGGGGTTTAGGGTGATTTGTGCACGATCGTAACGACTTGTATTCATCTTTACTGCTTAAGAGTGACCATATGGAATACAACATGCTCATTTTTTATTTTTTACTTATTTTTATTTGTATTATTTGTGGAAAAGTCTTTTTTTAAAAGACTTTTGTAGCTGTCGAGCACAGCTGTGCCCAAAAGACAAGCCCCATCCACCCAACAATTAGAACATGCACTTGCCCTAATCTCTTCCTCCCCGTAAAACATTAAGGAAGCAGATGGTTTATTTTGGGAAAACACGATAACATTACTAAGCAAAGAATACTTCTGGAGCAGGCAGGTGTTTGTTCTTAAGCAATTTGCTCCCAAAATATAAATATTAAACATAAAATATTCATGCAAAAATAAGGTTTAACCACAGAATCTTCTGAGGTAAAGGTAATTATGCGCCAAAAGCTGACAATTACTCTTAAAAATGATGGAGAATACCAGAGAGAATCACTGCATTGTAATCCACTATGTGTTTTGTTTTCCATGCATACACTGGTGAAGAAATTCATAAAGTTAAGTTTATGACACTTAAAATTTCCTAAGGGAGGACCCTCGCTTAATGTCCCACCATATGCTCAAATAAAAACTACAGACATAGTATCTTGGTTCAACATTTCCCTGTTAATATTTGCAGCTAGAGTGAGCATTTCACGTTTGGTCTGATCCATCTAAAACAGTCCATTCATTTAACTTTATTTTTATAGCACAGAATTACTGTAAAAGTCTACATTCACGATTTTATTTCAAGGTAAAGATTCCAAAAAAATCTCGAAGACAAACTCAACACAACAGTAAGCAAGCACTTGGCATACAGCTCTATTGTGCTATAAACACTAATTAATCATGCCCCAAAAAACAGCATACAAAATCGCTTCAGTCTAAAAGCGGGAAGGAGGGAGTGTCCAAAGCTATAAATTCCGTTTTATTTAGAGGGATATAAAATGTCCCCTCCAGCCCGCAGCTACAAAAAGCAGGGGCCCCACCTCAGACAAACACATACCAATTACCTGAGGAGACATCAAACAAGCATAATAGTTGGGTGGAAGCCATGTATGAGGAGAAATTATGTGGTCTGCAGTGTGTGGGTTGATCAGTATCCATCAAGTAAACCTCCCCCAGGTACTTCGTGTTCACATTACCATGGTAACCATATGACCAGTTGATATTTTTAACCCTGGGGGTCTCTCCCTGACTCCCACACAACAACGTGGGATTAAAGCTGAACTTTGTCATGTTGCTTAAAAAAGGAGGAAAACAGAATAATTGGTCAAAGGTCACCAGACCCAGTGTTGAGATTCTGTATTCTTATTTTGTGCTTTTTGTGCAATGGAGAGAAAAAAGTTTAATGGCAGTTTTTTGAACTTACTGTAGGTTGCACAAATAATTCACTCTTCATTACCTCACATGACCATCTCCGTGCAGGTGAAGCAGATGCATGAGCGACACCTTACGATCTGATTTGCACTTCTATTGATATCCTGAAGCAGAAACACAGCCCCAGACCATCACACTACCACCACCATGTTTGACTTTATGATGTTCTTTTTATAAAGCAGCATTTGTCTCTTCAGTCTGCAGAATATTTTCTAAAAGCCTTGGGAATCATCAAAACATTTGATGGGTTTTTTACAAATCTGAGATGAACCTTTGTGTTCTTTTTGGTCACTAGTGATTTATTCATACTGGATCTCTCCCATGGATGTGCACTTTCTCTCTTGTTGCTAAATTGTGAACACTGAACTGAGGCAAGTGAGGCCTGCAGTTCTTTAGATGTTGTTCTGGTTTCTTTGATTTGTCATTGAGTCTCTGTTGTTGTCATTGTCGTAGGATGGCCACTGCTGGGAAGCTTCACTACTTCACAAAGGTTCACAAAGTTTGGATAATGGCTGTCTCTGTTGTTCGCTGGCGTCCCAGAGCCTTATAAAAATGAAACGCTTTTTTAGATGGATTGATGTCAATGACTTTGATTCTCAGCTGTTTCTTTAGATTGTGGCATGATGCTTTTTGAGATCTTTTACCTGCTTCACTTTGTCAGAAAGATTCTGTTTAAGTGGCTTTAATTAGGCTTCAGTGTGGCTAATGAAATTAAAGTCAGCTTTCAAACAAACATGCATAATCACAGTTAATTGTGGGAAATATGTTTTTCACACAAGGCTGATGATGCACTGAATTGTGACAAATATGCAAAAACCTAAGAAATCAAGGAGGTGGTAACTACTTTTTCATGACACCCTGTCTTACTGTAAAGCTCAGCCAGAATTGATCTTTTCAACTATAAAACCAGGCATAAAATCATAAAAGACACCAGAGAACCGGCAAACTTATTGTCTCAACAGCTGCAGACAGCCCAGGAATTTCCATTTAAAACAAGTACAAAACCAGCTTTGAGGTGGCTTTCACAGGTCATGTGTTAACATCAGCTGAAGAGCTGTAACCCAAGAGACAGAGGGAAAGGACAGAGGTGATGAGGAAAGAGAGTGTGAAGAAGAAACAGAGAGAGACAAGATGTTTGGTTAGAAAAACACCTGCTATGTGGGGGAACTTAGCTCATCTATAAATGAAGACCTGAACTGTGTCACTTTCTTTTCGCATCCGTGTAGCTCAGGGCTGTTTGCAGGCACCAACTGCTCTTTATTAACACCATTCCTGATGGTGTGAAAGTGTTTATTTGCACTGAAATTAAAGTGACTGAGTGAATCAGTGATGGACTCATTGATTGTTAATTATTTAAATGTTGTTTTTCTTCTCTCCATTTTTATATTTTGTATTCATTTATTTATTTGTTTGTGTATTTTGCATATCCCATACTTGCAGTAACAGATGCTGACTAAGTTTAATTAGGTTAAGTGTTTTAAAAAGTTTCCATTATTGATTAGTTTTAGCTACTATGACCACTGTCTGCTGTAGAAAACACTATTTTTTATTTAACTTCATATTATCTGTTCCTATAACTAGTCTGCTATTTAAAATGTATACAAGCACATTAATTTTAGCTAGACATTTGAACTAATGGCAGAAGTTATTTCACTCATTTATTCATTTGCTTTAACCAAGAACATCACAAATCTGTTATCTTTTTATATAATATATAAATATATAAATATATATATAAGAAAAAAGACTTAAAGACTTTAAAACAGTAGTAATTAATAGAAACTAAAATTCCCAGAGATTTAAATGGAAACTCCCAGGAATTTCAATGTAGTTTATTCTGAAATACATACCAGAAAGTGCACTGGGATAAGGTGGTACTAATTCGGGTTTTTACAGGAAGGAAGAAACATTTTGATTGTAAGTAATTTTGGGTAGCAAGTAACTTCAGGTATTTTACAGTAAAGAAGAAATAAACTACACTGTATGTGACTTCAAGTAGTGAGTATCTTTAGTTATTTTAGCTGAAAAACTAGCAACAACATTAAATATATAACTATGCAGATTATGGAGTGACTTAGAGTGTTTGACCAGTCACCAGGGTAAAACATATGACAGTCAACAGTTCAAATGTTGTGGTTCACATTAATTAGGTGGTTAATATATGCCCAGCTAATTCTTGCTGGTGCCTCATTGGTCGATATGTAAGTATGTTGAATCTGATGTTGTATATCATTGGTTGTCTTTGGTTGGTTGCCTAAGCCACTTCATAATATGGCCCTTTCCCTAAAACATGCAGAATATTACTTTATTTTTCTGCTTAAAAAAACTGAATTACCTGCTAATTACCTGGTAATTAAAAGCATCCATCCATCCATCCATGCTTGTAGGACTTTAAATTACTTACAGTATAAATTTGGCTTTTTTCAAACTTTGTAGAAAAACAAAAAAATTGAGAAAAAAATATTGAAATTTTCTAAGCCACAGCCCGATCAGGTTTTCAGTAGGAGACATCACAGCTAGAGAGTAAGAAGTAAGGCTGTTATTCTAAGCAAACACAGGTTTTCTCATGATTCAAGTTTCTCAGAGAGCAATAACTGGCGCTCTCTGCAGAGCCGCAGCAGACAAAAAGACAGCACATCGAGCTTTGTTCACAGAGACATAGAAAAGTACCTTCCACAATGAAGATGAGACACCAACCAGAAAAAAGCAGTCAAAGGAAGGCTGCCTCAAAGTAGTCTCTAAAGACAAGTAGTGATTTCTAAGTTTCCCTTTAAATGGAGTTTAAAGTTTTCAGTGGGCTGTGATACGCCAACATTTCACAGCGGATGACTGGGGGAATAACTAATGAAGCATACAGCATGAGATATTGCTGCGTATTGTGAAATTAATCCTGTGGGGTTCAGTCATCTGCAATGGATCAAATTCACCAAGAAGCTCTACTTCATTATTTAGAAACTTCCAGCAACCTCTGGTTTCTGTCCTTATGCAGTTTATGATGCTAAACACATCTCAAAGGATTTATACATTTTCCAGAGGTCTGGAAGATAACTTCAGGGTCTCTTATTTAATAAATCTAGGATAAATTATGGTTCAGTTTAAGCCTCTTCTGGGGTGTAGGGAGATGCTACTTTAACACAGTACTGGGTCTCACTTTAAAACATTCTGGGAGAAAAGCCCTCCACCACATTCCTCATGAAGTTATTCCAAATAGTTACAAAAAATACGCAAATTTTTTTACCAAAGCCCAAAAAAGCCTGCAGAGATTTTTCATCATTATAATTCTGTTAAATTATAAATGAGTCAGAATGATGAGCACTAATTCTAACTTGTATTTTACTGCACAGAATGAGTTGTTCTCAATTTAGGGAGAGGACCACTTGCTGAAGAGCAAAACTGGATTTAATAAGCCAAGACATTATGTCGATAACCGCAACACCGTGTGTGTATATATATAAAAATATAAACATGGACAGTCTTGAGTCAGAATCAGACTGTATGGCTCACAATCTGGTTTTAGCCACTGATGGAGATTTTTTTTTTTAAGCAACGCTGCCCTCTTGTGTTAAGGTAAACCTTATTTCCAAATTGTTGCATACCGAATATAATCTGGAGAAAGACAGGCCCAGAAGAGGACAAGAGGAAAGTTAATAGTGTAGTAAACATCCTGAATATAAAAGCATGAATAAAGTTACTGTTTTTCAATAATTTAATTAGTTGTGAATAAATAACAGAGTCTTCGGGAGATAACAACTTTCAAAAAAAGAAAATCTTTGAATAAAATAACTCCAGTACACCACATTGTTCAGATATATTTATTCAATGTAAACTCTTGGAAAGGCAGGGATGAATGAATACAGAAACCAAGCAGTGAAGCAAGTAGCTGCATGTGGTTGAAAATGAGCATCTAGAGAAAATTATTACACCTTTTGTAACCAGGAGAGATCAGCGAGTCCTCGATTTTGGGGACTTTACAAGCAATGAGGAGAAGCTGTGAAGACGTTGGGCTACAATAATTCTTAAATCACTGAACTGTCATCAAAAAGTTTGAAGCATGCAAACTTTATGACAAGTACTTGCATACATACAGATAAAATGTAAAGTGACCAACATAGGAAGACATGAGAGAGCGCAGCAGACCTTTCGTTTCACACATTCACTTCCACTGATATAATCTTGATCCGCTCAGGTAGCAACAAAAAATAAAAAAAATAAAGCAAACATTTAAAAAATAAAATTAAAAAAAATAATGTGCATCCAGGCATTTGGCCATTAAAGGAAATCCTCATTTCTGCCAGGTGATAATGATGAAAGATTGTGCTGTTAATAGCTCTGCAGTCAGTGCTGAAATGTGACTCAAAAGTGGCCTTTTAGACACAAATAAATCAAACGTACACATAGTCTACGCTATATACAGTATTTACATCTTCTTCTAAAGAATTACTTGCATATGGTACACATCACAAGCCTTATCGTACTGAAAGTGACACTAAATTGTTCATCATATCAGCAAGCAACCAAAAAAAAAAAATAGCTTTTTACGTAACTCAGTATGACTAATCAACCTTGTTTCTTTTCATATAAATATATTATCTTTATTTGCACAGGACAGATTGAGCAAATTAGCATTTGGTAGAAAATTAAATATTTCTTTGTATCGTCCCCAAAGAGAAACAGAAATGAAAATGCAAAAAAACAAAACCTAAATGTTTGCTTATTTGCACATAAATCTCTTTTTTTTTTTTTTTTTAAACGGGGCTTATTAAACAACAGAATTATGAGTGATTTTCCATAAAGTTAATTCAATGAAAACAGGAAAATCAAAACTTCCGACTGGTCAAATTAGCTTTTATGTACCCCGGGTAGTGAGGGCTGGACTGAATGCTGAAGGATTACCGCGTTTTGAGCAGCACTCTGTACATGGCGAATCCCAGCACTGCAAACACCGTGGCTCCAACGCTCGCTCTCAGCCAGAAGGTCGAGCTCTTTAGGTCCGCTTGGCTAACGTGTCTGTTAAATAGAGGGATGCAGAGTGTAGAGACATATGTAAAGAGTTAAAAAACAAAAAAAACAACTCATTTTCCGTATCACATAACCCTGTTTTCACTTGGCTTTAAAATTCATTTTTGTGCGACTGGGTTAAAACAGCTAAGATGTAGTTACATTTGTCGCCATCATGTGTATTCATGGTGTCTGATTTAACTCACATCGTGTTACTGACTATATGACCGGTACGCCTGTGGTGGATGAGCATGGGAAAAACCACTGAGTTAAACTGATTTAAGTAGCAAACTACACTACAAAAGACATGCGGCTAAGTTTCTCCCAGACAACCGGGGCAGGTTGTTTGAGTGACTCGTGTGTTGTTGTTGGTTTATTACATCTGGATTTAACGCCGTCAACTTGTGACTGATCACCCAAGATGATGCATTTTAAAACTAAGTGTGAACAGGATCACAGATAATTCATTACTAGGACAGAAGTGACTCACAGACATCTCATCCTCTTTAACATCGAAACAAAAATTAAACTATTTCTCTTCCCCGATTAGCTCTTAACTTTCCAATAAAAGTGACAAACAGATCAAATAAGCAGTGACATTAGTTGTAAAGAAGGATCGCATAGAAATGAACATTGAGAAAATATTGATGAGCGGATGACAGAACAAGCAGAGAGCTGTGACATATTGAGACGCTGAAGCAAAAGCCAGTCAAACAGATGAGGGACTTAGAGGTTTATAGTTACGGATGCATGAGACAGCGAGACCAGAAATGAGTTGTGACAACTCTGTTAGATGAGACGGCTGAGGCACAGTGACATATGCAAAGCTGATACCAACAGAATGACAATCAGATTGAAGTCAAACACTGGGAAAAAAATGATGATGATGAAGTCTTTATAAAAAAAGAAAGCAATATCAAGATTGAGATGAAAAAACAGAATGAGCGAAATGAGGACAACTAAAAAGGACTGTAGAGGGAAAGCGAGTAAACTTAATGGCCTTTCTATTCTTCATTACAGAACAGCAGTATAAATGCAGTATAAGAAATAAAGTATGAAAGACTGGAACTTCAACAAAATCAGATTAGACAGAAGCAAGCATCATATATGCCGTGAGAAGCATTTAAACAGATCTACAGCAACACTGAAGACTCATGTTGCTCCAAAGGAAAGTTACTAATATTGAGCAAATCGAATATTTTCTGTACATTTGTATAGGAATGAGGATATGAGGTTTTTGCATGGATGAGTTAAGGTTCACCACCATCCTCGAATTTGGCGATTAAGAATTAACGGGAAAGAACTGGTCCCTTTGGTGCAACCAGCCGGGTCTGCTGCTGTGTTACAAATGATGATGCCACAGAGAAAAAAAAAGCAGCTTAAAAATGAAAACATGAAAAACATAAAAATGATAAACGCCAACACGTCAACAAAGATAAGAGAAGTTTGTAAGAGACCTTCGGAGTACGACAGCGTAGAGTTTGGCCCTGACCGTCTGCAGCAGCTCAGAGTTGAGGAAGTTCTGACACAAGCAGAATGTGCACCGGTTACAAGTGCACATGCAGCGCAGCCGGGCGTGGCTGAGGAGAGACACAGGGTACGTACACGCACACACGCCAACAAACATACAGACAAACGGGACACATACGACAAACAAAAACAAAGTTAAAAGCTGAAAGAGGCCGCCACCATTAAAAGGCTCCAGTGTAGTTCAGATCACAAGAGAAGCAGCTTGATAAAAGGCTAAATGTTTCTCCTTTTGAGAGAAAAAGAAAATGTTACCTAATATGCTGATCTTTTAAATATTATTTCTACAAAAACAAAGAAAAGAAAATTCAAGCAAATTAAAGAATTTTTAAGAAACCTGAGAAAACAGAAACAGTGATAAAAGCAAAAGAACAAATCTCAATCTACCTGAAACCGTCACTAGAAAAGGCATTGGCCATGGAGGCGCCTCCAGCTTAAACACTTGAATCTCAGACAATAAAGTTGACCTCCTCAAGATTAAAGTCTCTGTGCAATCGTATAGTAGCACAACGTGCAGCAAGGTGATTTACGTTGACAGTAAAGTGAAGCCTGACTGATGGCATGAGTGTGATGCTCAGGGAGAGATCACTATTACAGCTCAGCAGGAGGCCCGTGTATCCACAGTGGAAAACACAGTGGCATCAGACTAAAAGCAACATGTCCAGAGACCAGTGAAGTGCATTAATGCGTGTCGAGTGAGGCGCATGATGACAAATACTGACACTTGCAGACAGCAGGAGCATCCCCAGAGGGGACCTGGGAATATTACACAGAGTACAGCTCTGTATTTAAACTGTCAGACTAATCTTAACCATAGGGGGGGGGAGGAGGAGGAGTATTCTATGATTCATCAGATTTATTTCTACAGTTGGGTCTTAAAGGGCAGAAAACCCTCAAGGACTACAGGAAACACAATTAAAACTTTGCAAGTTGCCTCCTTTTACAGCAGCAAACGAGAACTGTGACTCAGCTACTTCATCACCTCAGACCACAACATCCTCTAAAACTTATGTTTGGAGCCAGAGCGAAGGATTTAGAGGACTATATTGTCGGTCCGCATTTCCAGACCCGAGGGAGATATAAAGAATGCTCTAAATTGTGTTAAAAACCTCATCCAGCACCAACAGCTTTAATAAAAATTACCAAACATAAATAATATAGGATTTATGTAATCATTTGCAGGAAACAAGAAAACTATGAGATTACAGCTGCAGTTAATAAATGCATATAAATCTTCCTCTTCTGGGTGATGATTTATACTCATCATATCCTTATATCATAGTTAAAGGGTTAACAATATATAAATAGAAAAAATAAAAACAGGATATCATGAAGAAAAACATATTTTCCACAAATCTTCTCATTCTAATTTGTCGGCTAAGCTCATCTCAGAGCTGCGAAACTAAAGATGCACTTCAATTAAAACTCAGACAGTGCCCTCCAATAACAGACAAGACAGCTAAGTGGGATTAACTTCAGTTAGCACTAATAAATAATTGGATTTCTCTGAATTAAATACAATTCACTATGTTCTTAGTTACCTTTTTACCCTTTCGGGAATCTAATCTGAAAATGTGACTCGTAACAAAGTATCACATTTACAGTCAGGTTGATGTTTCAAATTTCTGCATACTTACGGATACATTGCCATGGTGGTAAGTTTGGTGTAGATGTCTCTGTTGGGTGCTGAGGCTGCGTTACAAGTGAAAGACTGAGGCGGGGGCATCTTGTGCCTCCGACAGAACTCCAGAGGACTGCAGCCATACATCTGCTTGACCTCTGGCAGGTCTGACTTTGCTGCAATCATCATACATGGCGTCTTGCTGTCCATGAAGTATTGCTGAAGGAGAAAGACTCGTTAATGAATGATTATGGTTGTGGTGGTCTTTTGTTTTAAGTGGACAAACATCTGTGTTTTGGTACAATGTGAACACTAAAAACAGTTTTACCTTGAAAACCTTGGCGCAGTACTCAAAGGAGTAAGGGTTGCTGACGTCATAGACTAGGCAGACGATGTCACAGGCCAGATCAGAGTCAGACAGGTAGTCGAAGTCAGGAAACACTTCGTGAAGCTGGAGAGGTAAGGTGGTTAGAATTAAGTGGTTAAAGTGGAAATACTCTCTTTTCTAAATCTCTTAATTAAAATCCACTAAGCTAGAGGAACACAGCTGAGTTTGAACCTTAGTTCCTTTAATTTGACTTCAAGGTGGCACATCCCTAGTGGTCACAGTTGCTTAAATAGTTTGTAGAATGTGTGTGGACTTTATGTTAGATGCTGAGTTTGACTCAGTTTAATGTGATCTCATTCGGCAGTGCTGCTGGCATTTTTCAATTGCTTCCTAGAATTCCAGTTTTTAAAATTTGTGTGTCTAGGAGGTGCGTTGGAGTTCATCTAGTGTTTGGAAACAGCGACTCTTGGAATGAATTTCATTTTAGGGTAAAAGTTGCAGGGACACAAATCCGTACACAGTGAGAAGTGTACAAGAAAATGTGTTTTCAGTGCATTGGTGAGGGACACACAAAGTGCTGGTTTCCCTTAGACCAGCAACTTTGTGTGTCCCTGTCTTACCCTGCTAGCCAAGTTAATGAGTGCAACCAAGTGAAAAAATAAAAATTAAAAAAAATAAAATAAAATGAACATTCATCGTGCTCCAGATCTGATGACCAGATCACCAGAGGGCCCCATAGACCTTTGTTGTTTCTGTTTGACACAGACATTGATGTCTTGTCTCAGTGCAGGTTTGATGTCCATGATGAAATTGCAGACACACAAGTTGAGGAATTTGTACAGGGAGTGATCTAAAAATAGCAGCTGTGCTGTAAGCAGAACCAGTGCAACCCAGAAGTGCACAAGCACATGACATTACAGAGGGAAAATGGTCAAAGTCAGATAGATAGATACTTACTTTTAGTTAACTACTGTACAGTAAGTATCTAACCAGTTTAAAAACCAACCCACAGTGATGAAAACCAAAGTGATGAGAAGCACACAACCATCCAAGGACAACAGAGTGAATCACACTCATTAATTATTTGTTCTCCAGCTGCCTATAAGTGCCAAGACAAACAGGGTTGTTGTGCTTCACTATGGATGCCAGGACAGAGGGAGTGGAATCCACCCTGGAGGGTGAACCTTTTAAAGGTCCTTTAACCAGTGTCAAAACAAACAGTGCAGTCAATGTGCAAATCAATACCATTTCAACTATTGAGATTCATCTGCTAAATGTTGCCATCTAAAAGAAGCCAGTTTGCTATGGTATTCGATATTTTTCCTACAACTTTACAACAACTGTTCCTCTGTATCCCTACAGCACATGCACTGTGCTTGCACTTTGTCAAAATAGGCACAGCAGTGCTAATGCCTTTGTTAAGCAAGTACAAATGCTGGCTTGACAAAAGCATTAGGCGAGCATGATAAGAAGCTTACATAGAGCGAGCTAAGAACAGCCAACCTCAAGCTGGGCTGGCCTTCATGGATCACAGTTGACAACCTCACGTACAAGACACAGCGGTACATGCACAGTACAAAATGTATTTGTACCGTTACTGAAGGTCAGCACATACATAATGTGTAATAAAAGTATAGGAGCTACATTAAAGTGCCCAATATGAGAAATAATTAGAGTAACTTTATGTTAAAAAAAAATCTGCCTGGAAGACAGTGTCCACACTGCAAGGATAGAAGATATATGTGCCGTCATGTGTTTTCATTAATGATTAAAGCAGTGTGTTTGATACTCACGAGAAGGTATTTCTCCTGGCCGTAAACATAGGTTGTATTGATGGCATAGTAGGATCTGTGCTCCTCTTTAATGGTCTTCTGGCGCTGAGAAGACAGAAGAGGATCTGGCGTTAATTAAAACATGATGTGAATGACATTTTCAATACATGCAGCAATGCAAAAATATATATATTGACATAATCCCAAATGTACAGAGTTAAGGCATTTAAATAAACCTTTTTACTGGAACTTTTTTTTGATACTTGCTGTGTCTCAGAGTAAACACGTCAGTCAGGGTAAAGCAAAACATGTTTATGGCAAAGCCTGAAATCCAGTTCAGGCAGCCCAATCTAAGCCTCTCACATAATACACCCCACTTAAACATGCTAAACACCTTTCTGAATACCTCTTCAATATGTTACTGCATGCCTATGTGCACTGCTCATTCTATAGCTATTGCAATGCTGGTGTAGTGGATGGCTGAGCTGGTGCTTAGTTCTGCTTACCATGAGGTTTCTACCCAGAAAGGCTTGTAGGAAGCCACTCTTGCCACTGCCAATGTCTCCAAAAACATTACAGCGGAAGACGCTGCGCTGGGTCTGCTTCTTCTGCAGGTCAATCTTCTTATCCCTGGTCACTGCACGAAGGAAACCACATACAAACACAAGTACCAGAGGATCAGTTCAGACAGCTGCTGTGCACAGTCCAACAGAGTCAACTACACCATTTAACTGTTCTTAAAACAGTTTTGTGATTAAATGAGGATTACATGGTAGAGTTTACCTGTAATTCCTGCAGCTTGGGACTCCTGCTCAGCAATTATTGAGTAACCAAGATACCCCAAATACTCCAAACATCTTTGGACATCCAGATAAGTTGTTAACCTGAACAAAAGGCAGCTGAAGTTAAGACACATGAACTCATATACAGTAATGCAACTAATATTATTTTATATTTAAATGACAATATTAAAATCATCAGTTTATTATTTAAATAGTTCTTCGTTGTGTCCCTGAATTGTCCTGACCCATCAGGGCAAGGACTTTCCTGTATCAGAATTTGGCTGTAGGGTTTCAAGAGCTGTGGGGTGGGACCTCTATTATTTGGGCTTTCCCTGACAGATCCTGCAGATAGCTTACTCAATTCAGATGCCACATGAAAACTTTGGACTCTTTGTTATGCTCTCTCCTGTCAGTGCTTTTTAGAGTGTGGTGAAAAGCACTGGAAGTGGGAGACCATTGCCACCGGGGAGGAACATTACTTTAGGGATATGTTTGGTTTACACTGTGTCCTTGTAAATGCCATTTTCAAAGGTTTCTGTACAGGTGTCAGTGGTTTTACTGTTGTGGCTGATCAGTCAATCGGAGCAATCAACAAGCAGAAACAAATAAACATGGACACCAGTTTAATGCCTACTTACGTCCACTGTGAGAGATACCCCTGGTAGGTGATCCAGCCTTGGTCATTAGTGCAAACTGTGTTATTGACATCTGGCCCCCAGGGCATGTAGGGAAAAACATCAAACAAGTCCCTCAGCTCCTCTGGTGACAAGGCACAGTCACGGTCCTAACAGACACAAGGATCAGTTACTGTGTACAGCTACACCTAAATAACGAACAGGGTGCTCGTGGCAGGAATAATTTCCTGTGGGATTTTGTGGGTGAATGTACACTGAACAAACTGCTCTAGTTTGATAGACTTCAGAAAAAGAATGGACTAAGCTGGCTGGCTGTCACTTCTACCTGAGAAAACAAACATGACAGACTGAAGGCACACATTCACAGCGGGACACTAATCACTATGAGAGAAAGCAGATCTTGACACAAGCTGTCACTTTCACTCTTTGACTCTTCTAACCTCATGGCTAATTCTCCCTGCCAATCCCTCCTCAGCTGCAAGGAGTTACATCACACCTCAGCAGGTGGTCACACTTGACTGTGGGAAAGTGCCTTCCTAAATGTCAATCAGCAACTTCTTGTTTGTGTCTCATCAGGGTGAAGGCCAACATAAATACAGAACCAGATATACAGGACTGTACCTTATCGTGTTTGTCAAAGACGCTCTGGAGGAAGAGGTAGGCATTATGGTTGAGCTCAGTAGTGCAGTCTGGGGGAATTTTCAACCTAGAGAGGGAGAAATAACATTTATTCATATTTAACACATAAAATAAATGCAAGCATATTTTAACAATGTATCAAACAAGCAAATACGGAAGGAAATGATTCAACAGAGTGCCACAAACCAACAGACGAATGGAAATACAATGAGGTGCAAGAGCAGGAGCAGATTTTAGTTGCTTAGATGTCAAAGTAAAACTCACGGAGGGAAGAGATAGTCCTGATTTAACTCCAGGTCATCATCATATCCGAATCGCCTGAGTACTGTCCAGGTTGTTTCATGGCGTCCTCGCTGAATGAACAGCGTGTGGAGAAACAAAAATCCTGGAGAGGAAAAATAAATAAATCTCAGGAATCCCACTGTGAGGCGAGCGTGTATATACATAAGCATCAGAAATACGTCCCATCACTCCTACCTTTAAGAGTGAGGCCGTTGTCACACACGCCATCAATTAAATTCTTCCTCACCACGTTTTTTACATCCTCTAACGCCTGAGGCTCCAACGGGGTGTTGAAGCACGTCCGCTATGGGCAGACAGGCAAATGTTGTTATCTGAATTAGCTCAGCGTCTCCCACCGAAAGGAGGGAACAATAAAGACCGCCTGGATATTCTATTTTAACCAGTTTACCTGAAAAAAGTTGAGCTCGTTGTCGTTGAGATTACCATCGTTATCTAGGTCTGACACTTTGAAGATTCGAGTGAGAGCTTTTACACAAAGTGGCTTCATCTGAAAAATCAGGGACACAAACGTTCTTTAAACAAAAGCAGGTTCTGCTAAGAGTTCAAATCCAGCCCTTAATGCAAAACAAACTCAGAACACTAAACAGCTCAAGAGTCATGTAGTGTACATTTATCCTTACATCTTTTTTCTCTGGACAGTAGAGGGGACCAGTGGGGTGGAGAACTGCCTTTTGAGCATAGTAGAAAAGCTCGGAGATGTTCTTCAGGTTCTTTGCTGAACACTATAAACAACAAGGAAGAAGAAAATGTGCACACATGTGCACACACACAGACACTCTGTTCAGTGCTGTAATGCAGTTCTGGTATCGAAGTGGTTCATTTGAAAGCCCCATTAATACGCAGTGTGAGGCTTCTTGATCTCATAAGTATTATATGCGGCACTGTGAGCAAACAGTCCAGTCAGCAAAGGGTCATCCCTGTTTACCTACCTGTGTGTGTGTGTGTATTTTGGTGACTAAGTAGTTGCCAGACAGGCTATTAACACACGTGATCTGTCTGAGCGGCGCGCCCGCTCCAATTAACAGACTGAAAAAAAAAAACCCACAGGTGTCAGGAGGTAGTGAACTAACTTCAACAGAAAGCAAACTTGGTAGAAACTGGTGAGGGTTTTTTGGTTTTTCATATCGAGGAGTTGAATTCGTGCTGAATTTAAAGTTCTAAACAGGTTATGGTTTAAACTCGTGACCCTTTACAGTTGTTTGACTTCCTAGATTTAAATACTTATGCAGAAATACCACTATTTTCAGGAAGAATTAAAAAAGGGAACCAAAAGGCATCACTCACACAAATGCAACAGGCCAAATTAGGTCAGTGTTTACAAGCAAGACAACAATAGTCAATATACTGTAAGTGGCAAAGATTATCTTTAGGCTGTTATCCTCCCTAGTTTATACTTAAATATCAAGTTAGCCAATCACACTGCAGCAACTCTGTTTCTATATTAACATCCGCAAGACTTTAATTGTTTAACTGTTTAAATGACATGTCTGTTAAGATCCCTTAAAAGCAACAATGGCTAAAGTGTGGATGTCATTATTAAGAGAAAAAAAATGCCGTTCTTCTTTGTTCCTGTAAAGATGGAAGTTTCTGCACAAAGGTCATTGTAATTAATTGTTATTAACTCTGTTGTGTTTCTTCCTCTTTAGGTTCAGCACAAAATAGAAGAATGTACTGATGTCCACTGTCTGAAGCAAACTATTTAAATACTTGAATCTAAGCAGATGATTGTTCTTGCAATCTGCCATTCTGTGTTTTATTGTTGAGAAATGGTGGCAGCAATAAGAGTGGTGACTGTCTCACCTCAACGCAAGTCTCTATCTCACTGTACTGGTTCATAATGGGAAGTATGGTCTCCATGCTGCTGTGCTCCACCAAATCAGACTTGTTCCCCACCAGGATCAGGGGAACCCTGAAAATGTCAACACCACAAAGCAAAGTGATTAACAGACAATAACTGCTTGATATACACCAACTAGCCACTTTATTAGGTATACCTGTTCAAATTATTTTTAACACAAATGTCTAATCAGCCAATCACACGGCAGGAACACCATGCATTTAGACATGTGAATCTAGTTTGTGGCATTTTCCCCACACAACCATCTTTAGGGTTTACAGAGAAAACTGGCAGATCTTTGGATGAAAAGGCCTTGTTGATGCAAGAGGTCAGAGTAGAATTACCAGTGTTTCAAACATCAGCAGAAAGGCAACAGTATAAAGCACTTAAACAACAGCAACCGCTGACCAAAGACGCTGGTGGTGATGTAAAGGTGTGAGGGTAATTTTGCTGGCAAACTTTTAGGCCCCTTAGTACCCACTGAGCATCGATTAAACACTTCAGCCACCTGGGTATTTTTCCATGTCCATCCCTTTATGACCACGTCTTCTGTTGGCTGCTTCTAGTCACAAAGTTCAAATTGTCTCAAACTGATTTCTTGAACACTTGACACTGAGTTCACTGCACTCAAATAAGCTTCACAGTCACTAGATCTCAGTCTAATAGAGCACCCTTGGAATGTGGTGAAAGGGAGGAGTCACATGATGGATTTGCAGCAACTGTGTGACGCCATAATGACAAGATGCAAATTGCTGAGGAATGTCTACACCAGGGAGAGCTATGGTAGTTCTGACTGGCTCCAACCCAGTACTAGCAATGTGTACCTAATAAAGTGACCAGTGAGTATACATATCAGTTCTTTTTTTGGTGAACCTGCTTATGTGAAATGTGACACTTCTACTGCTGCTTTTTGCTTAGAGTGAAGACACTGTAAGGGGGAAAAAAAACCATTAATCATCCTGGGAGTGTAGGTCATTACATTAACCACTACTTGAAAATTACCAGGTTTGGCTTCCTGCTACAGGACCTAATATTTTGCAGCTGCCTGTCCTGTCACACACAACTGCACAAACTGAGAATCTGATCCCACTCTCTTCTTATATTTGGTGGAAAACAAAAGCCCAGAATATTTCTGTATGTACCTGCTGTCCTTGTCTGTGTTCTCTGTAATGAGGGGGATCCAGTGGCTCGTCACCTATGAAAACACAAGTAGATACGATAAAAGATTTTCTCAGTTCAGAGAGACATGAAACCCAATTCTTTAGTATCACGCTGTCACACCAGAGTCTTACATATTATACAGTTCAGCTGATATACAAACTAAATATGGAAATTCTGGCAGCAGAGGAGCTCACCTTCTCTATAGACTTCTTGTTGTTGACAGCGTAGACAATGCAAATCACATTTGCCTACAGGACAGATCAACACATAAGCATTAAGCTTTTACATGAACCCGAAAACTTTTCACTGAGCAAAGCAAAATCCACAGACTCACCTTGGAAATCTCCTGAAATAACTGCTCATCCGTCTGCTCTGCCTCTGTGGAGGGAAGTTGAGCTTGCTTAAGTAAAACAAGGATGCTCCAATTCTTTATTTATAAAACACACACGCACGCACACAAAGTAATGTTCCTTCAAATACCAGAGTAATCCACAATGTGTGTGGGAACTCTCTCCGGTGTAACATCAGCCGGTATGGTAATTTCTTCAGCTCGATAGGGAACCTGGGATACAGAGATGTTTAGAGCTGGCTACAGAGCGTAAATAGCACAGTCAAATCAATGCAACATAAGGTGAATAGTGGGCACGTTTAATCCCAGATGGGTACAGTAACATTAAGTTATTAAGTGATTAAGTTTCTGGCAAAACAGGAATGCATTCATACCACATCTGGGAACTCCTCGCTGACCAGTGACATGATGAGAGAGGTCTTCCCCACCTTGGCTGCAGATGGAGAGAAGGAGACATATTTAGTGTGTTTAGCAAACCCTCATTACTCATAAGCATAATGTATTATTATTACTGAGACACGTTTCTGTAGATGTTTAAGAAAATACAGGTTAGATGTGTGACCCATCAATTTTAGCCTTCATTTCTGAGGACACCAGATGTCCCACTTTATGGGAGCAACTTTGGAAGTCTGTCATTTCTTGTGCAAAGAGAAAGTTGCCAATCACTGGATGCACCTCTTCTGAAACTCAAAGATGACCACCAGTCAGATATCAGATAAAATAACAATAAAAAAATGGAATACGCAGGAGTACAAAGAGCATATACCAAACTGTTAAGTACTGTATTTATCCTGAAACTGAGAAAACGTGTGGAGACAAAGTACTTCTTCCTGCACAGACATAACCCCAACGTGTAAAACAAAGCCCATCACATTCCAATAATTCAGATGCTTGAAAGGCTGTGATGTTACCTGATAGAACCCAACTTTCAAGGAGATAGATAGATAGATAGATAGATAGATAGATAGATAGATAGATAGATAGATAGATAGATAGATAGATAGATAGATAGATAGTGTAGTGAATTCACATGTATACTGTAGTGTACATGTGAAATTAGGGCAATCAGATTGCAATACCATCAAGAGTGTGCACCATCAAAGTGGTAAACTGAGGTTAGGTGAATAATAGAAAAGAAATTATCCGCCTAACTGCTCTAAAAGGCTACAGTTGGGGATAGCATGGCCAAGATAAGCTCCAATAACACATACAGACCTCTAAAGCACAAAGCAGTTGCAGAACGAGTGGCCTGAAACAAATACAGAGCTCATCGTGATGAAGACACTGCTCAGCATCACATGTCCAGCTGTCTGGCAGCAGCAGTGCAATTCAAAGTGTGCCCTAAAAGGCTGACTCTGCAGTCAACAAACACACTGCAAACACAGCTTTATCTAAAGCCTTACTTACGCTCTCCCACTAATAATATCCTCACGTCTTTGCGCATCTTCCCCGGCGTCGTCAACCACGTCGGCAGACCGGTCTGTGTGCAACATTTATGCTCCTGTCTGTCTGGATGAAGGATACAGCCAGCCACTTCTACGCGGCCTGGCTCGCTTGCTAACAGCTACGTTCGCATTTCAGCCCCCGTCTGCTCAGCTTCAACGCAAACTCCACACGGTTAGAGAGAGCCCTACAAAACGCTGTTCTTCTTTCTTACTGTACTCTACCGTGCATACTGTCACACAGCCAGCAGGGAGCTCACACGAACAGCCAGATAACCACACAAACTTGACTGTTACAACACCATCGGCTGCTAGCTGTCGGCCACGCCCCTCCTCGGGTCAGCTGAGTGCGTAAAGCCGAGATGAGCTCGCGCAACACTTAAAAACAAAACAAAAAGTCATGTAAAAAAATAAAAATAAAACTATCCCCCATGTACTTGACCAAGAAGTGCGGCATTAATCTGCGGGTTTGAATTAAGACAGGTGTGAGCTCTATCTGCGATATTTTTTTAGTACTGGGAAACTGGAGTGGAGTGAGAGATCTTACTTTTTCCTGTAGCTTTGAATTTCTGTCAAAAGGCGCTATCTGGAGGAAAAGAAAAAGCAGCACGTGCAAGTCTGAGGTATTAAAAGAGTGGCGGTTATGGTCTGTTTTTCTTTTTTAAGTCAAGCGGCGATACCTGCGTAATACATAGACAGAATAAGATTTATGGTAAGAAGTTTGAGTTATTTCTTTTCTTACACACACACAGACTATGAAATAGACTTCTACCTTATACTGCAGGGGGTGATTTAGTTTTCTTTTAAGGACATCGGGTGTTTATTGAGATGCTTTCGGCTATTTTGCCCTTGTGTGCATTAAGGTGGATTCCACACTCCATAAGACTCCATCACTACTGATTTCCAGTCCAGGCTGCATAATTTGGCAAACCTCGGCCTTTTCTCCCTGTTTCTCTTCCTTAAGAATGGCTTCTTTACAGCCACCCTTCCACTGAAACCATTTCTGATGAAGCTTCAATAAAAGGTAGATTGATCAACTGAAGGCCAGGTGTATCTCTCACATCCTGTGTCAGTTCATTGCTTGATATTTCTCCTATTTCTTAAGAACATGACTTTCAGATACAGTTCATCTGCTATAGATAGCTTTTTTTTTAGACCTGGCACTTCTTTTGTTCTCCACATGTCCAGTTTTCTAAGAACACACTGAACACTATTGTGAAATATGTCATGCTTCTGGCCACTAGCTCTTTGGTAATCACCTTGTTGATGCAAAAATACTATTTTATGTCATCTTGATGCATTCTCAATCATCCAGGTAAGTAAATCTCCAAAAGTTGATTCTATTCATCTGGACGTAGTGTTTTCAGTGGGAGAAACGTTTTGTCATTCATCCAAGTGACTTCTTAAGTCTCAGCTGACTGCAGGTTCCCCCACTTTTACGTGAAAAGGGAAAGACCATCTCTGAATCGAGGAGGGGGTCTAAGGGTACATCTTTCACCATCTTACAATGCTGTGATTACAGCCATTCCCCAACTCTCTGTGAATGGTTCTCATGGCCATTGATCAGTGTTCTTTGATCAGTGGTTGTTGATCAATGGTCATGAGAATTTGCATAATCATAATCAAGAAACTGACCTCGCACCCCATTGTTCCTTCAGTGGGCTGGTTTCAGTCATAATGCAAATGTACTGTTTATAAGATTTGGGGAAACCTGCAGTCAGCTGAGACTGAAGAAGTCACTTGGATGAGTGACAAAACGTTTCTCCCACAAAACGCTTCGTCCAGATGAACAGAATCAACTTTTGGAGACTATTTTATGTCTTCTGTAACTTTGGCATTTTTCACAAACCCAGCTAGAGAAATGGGAACAAATGGTGTGTTTTTCTTAAACGCTGCTAGTAATGAAGTGCCTAAAGATACAATTTAAAATGGTCACTTTGCTAATTTGTCAGGTACAAGCAGCTGACTGAACATGAGTGAAAAAGCAGCCAGTGTCCAAAGAAAAACTTCAAAAAGTCTGGAGAACAATATTACTCAAGACCACAAAAAAGAAAGTCTGGCTCCTTGGGATGGGTCAGGACTTTCACACAGCACTATATATCTACTTTTGGTAGCCTATTAAAGTTTCTCTGCACTGCAAAACTGTCAAAACAGAAGATTTTCTGGTACACTTTCTTAAGCCTTTAGCATATCCTTGTGTATGGAAGAATCAAACTTTTAGATTGAAATGTTCACTTAAAATAATATTACTATTAAAACAGCTTTTAATAAGAGATGGAGCATAAAGTAAGTGTTTCTTTAAGGCTAGCAGCTAAATTACTGTAAACTAATTGATAAACAGTGATATGTGGTCCTGGTGGTTGTTGTGGTATTCCCATCAGCCCTGATGGAACCCGCTACTTAAAATCAAAACATCTCAACAGAGGCACATATGCCTCATACAATGCCCAGCTGCACATATGTTACTGATGAGGAAGAAAGCCAGCATGTTCCCCAACAACTGGTTAACAAAAAAATGAAAGAAAGCAGTTATTTATCAAGTGTATTTAAATTATGAGTTTGAGAAATTCACAGACAGCTACAAACACAAAAAAGTATCTAAGTACATCAAAGTTAACAAAAATATTTACAAAATAGCCATTTCAGTCTTTATTTTAATAAATACAATGTCTGTTTTCAGTGACTTTATAATGTATTACAAAAGAACGCTGACATTAATTTCAACAAAAGTGCATCAAAATCAGGAGACATTGCTTTTAATGTGCGTGGATCTTACAGAGAAACAAAGTCTCTACGGTGACAGTAGCTTCTCCACATTGCAGACAGTCTGTGGTCCTGTCTCTAATTATGTTTCTAGCCACACTGACAGGTTCGGGCGCGTCTTTGTGAGAAAAGCTTCAGGTCTGTTCTGTCCCCAAACGGTATTTTAATTTCCTTGCAAAAAAGGAAACGATTCATTTTCCTCTCCTCAGGTTGGCCTCATCTGAATATCGCAAAGAGAAAGAATTAGGAATGCTTGACAACCAAAGGAGCAAAGTTGATGCATTTTAACAACACACGGGACAACAAATTCCTACTAGAGTAGTCTTCTGGTGTCATGGGTTGAGAGATGACCTTTCTGAAAGCCATTATCCACTCGCTCTGCTCCTGCTCCTGCTCACACATAAAAACAAACTGCCTCTCCGGAGTCTCCAGTGAGATCCCGCAGTGCCACCGGCTTCCCCTCGCGTTGCGGCTGCTGGTTTCTGAAACAGAGTAGCCGTGGCTCTCTGTGCCGATGAAGACAGCACCCAGCTCTGTAGCATCCTAACAGTATAAATAAACAAGGTACAACTAAATAGGATCATTATGATTATTCATTGCATTTTATGAGCATTAGAATAACTTCTTAATATCTCCAATTAAAAGGAAAAAAATGACAAATTTTTATGTTTCATTTATTTATGTAGGTGTTTCATTTTCACAAAGATATGAGCGACACAAAGATCTGTGTTCTTCATCTCTGTTCATTACCAGTGGAGATTTAAAGTATAGAAGCTTTCTGTTCATTGAGCACAGCGTGAACCAGCGCTTCTTGAATGGCTCCCGTTGCTGAAAACACATATAAACACACCAATCCAATTAGCCAGGCAGTTAAACTAAAAATAAGTAGACCCAGTAAATCCAGTTAAAAATTTCGGATAGTTCACAGACCGTCGGACCAGTTTTCTCCATGTATCCCTCCTTCAGGCAATGTGCTGTTAGCTGATGTTTTAACTGTGCAAAGAAACACCGACAAATACTGTGAGCTGAACAACAGCAGCAGCTCACAACCAGAATGATTCAACCGTGCTGACGTTGTGCGGGTTAGCACATTAAATGTAATGTGTTTAAATGGGGAGAGAACAAACCGAAATTAATATTGAATTTAACTGCCGCGAGTAGCATCATGTTTCATCTGATATATCTGTTCATGGAATAACAAGGCCTCGCCTAGCCATGTAACTGCTCTTCAGTCAATTGCCCAATTACTTTAGAGCATTTGAAAAGACTGTGTATAAAAATGGCTGTGATTCCTAAACAGTTCATACTAATTTTTTTGTTACACCAATTAAAATAAAGCTAGGGGTCTGCACTTCTATCATATCCTGACTGTTTGGTTGAAAATCCATGGTTGTGGTGTACAGAGGCAAAAACAAATTCATTGTCCAAATATTTATGGACCTAAGTCTGTGCTAGTTTTAAAGTGGATATTAGGTACAATAAAGGCAAAGGAGCTTTCTCAAAATGCTAAGACAAAAAAAAATTATATAAACACGTGGTACTAAAAACAGAAGACTTGTGGTTCAGCAGCAACTTTCTTGGGTGTGAAAGGTCATTTTAAAACAATCACTGAGCAAAAGCTGCGGCATTAGTAACAAAGACTTGCAGATATGAGCAGAAACTTTAAAAGGAACATTAAACAAGGCTTCGGTCGAGGCCTTGAAACCTCTGCACACTTTCTTGAACAGAAAGCCATTAAATTGGAAAGTTCTATGTAGTTAATTACAGAAAACGTTTGATGTATGAGGTATGACTTTGAGGTTGTATAATTTTACTTAGCGGCTTTTTGAGGATAGACATCACTAGCCTGAAGTAAGAGCGGTTTACATAGCTGATGACCTAATGAAAGTTTGTCTCACGTCTTTTTCTTGAAGAGTGGGGTTTTTCTTCAGGAGGTATGCCAAACGTGTTGCCCGAATAGCATTGAAAAAAGACACAATCACCTATAAGAGATCATAGACATAGGTTTTGCCAGGAAGAGTAATTGTCTCAAATAAGGTATAACTCTATGAATGTGGGATGGAAAAGAGCATGCAGCATACATCTGGGAAGATGCCCTCACCTTCCCGTCCTCGTGGTACACAAAAAGGTTCTTTGAGCGTTCATCGTCCACATAGGAGATCTGCAAACCGGTAGCATGACCGATCTTCTCTGGTTGGAAGACTGCATTCAGATCCTTCATGTTGATGACAGCTTTGGGAACCTTGGACTTGGTTTTAATGAGATGATTGAGGAAGATTAGAAAAAGAGGTATTTGGCCAGAGTCAACTGAAGAATGCTTATACAGCTGTAAACTAAACGGTCTTATGACTGAAGAACTGCTCACATCCTCTTTGATGAAGTATCTGAGGGTGAAGTCTTTCTGTGAGAGCAGGAAGGTGCTTTTAAAGAACTGCTTACTGTCTTTGCCTTTCTTCCATAGTGTTGCCTCAAACAGTTCTGGAGTATCAAACAGTTCAAAGAGGTGAAGCAAATAAACTGCAGGTTAGACTTTGATGGGAAAACAAATGCTGGGTTGTCAATGTTTTGTTGACGGGGGAAGGTTTCTTTTTTTTAATTAAAAATATTGTGAGGATAATTACCTGCACTGTACACTTTTTGAAAGTAGATGTTTTCTCCTGTGAATTCCCGTCTTTCGTACTTGGCACGGATCCACTGATCCTTAAGAATGCTGAAAACAAACAAGTCCGTGAAAATGTGTAGACCTGTCACTGAGCCTTTACACTTCTCTGCTGTTCCTCTTTCTACCTGAGAAACGTGACTACTCCACTCCCATTCACTAAACAAACCGTTTGTTGTCTTTGCTTCCCACTTCCGTTGAGTTAATGAAATGAATGGGTGCCAAATGCAGTGAAAGTCACTTACACGCAATCTTTCTGCTGTGGTTGGTAGAAAAAGACCGGGACACACTTCTCAAAAATAGCTTTGGCAGCAGAATTTCCCTTCTCTTGCATGAACTGAAACCGCATAATGTGAGAGTTAAAAATAAAGGTTAGAACAAGATAATATTGTTTACATGATGAACAGACTCAAATTAGAAGGATTTATTTTAAAATGAAGCACGAAATGAAAATCTGGAGGTAACGGAGTAATAACAGAGGGAACTGGGGGGAGTGAAAAATCAAAGAAATCTAAAGGTATCCAACACCCTCTTTATAATAAAAGGAAAATGTCTAAATTTAAGAGAACATGAATAAATAATTAATCATATGAATTCATGCTAATAATCAATACCTCTACAAGTGAATCTTCCCAATGATCCAGCCGTATGGATTTCACTTTGCTGACTGCAGGCAGATTACGATGCATCCCCGAGCAGTTCAGGCACACAAAGACGCCGAGAGTGTAAGAAGCCCAGTCAGGGTCTGCGAGCAAAAAGTGATCGCAGTGTTTATTTTATAAGAAGGAACTAAGTACAGTGCAAAAAAAAATAAAAGTAGTCCTATGAACTGCCTAATGACCATAATGTACAAAGATTATAAAGCAAAAATCAGTGTTTCTTTTCTGCACAATTATAAAGTCGATAAACAGGCGAAAGAGTAAGCGTATAAAGCACTGTTTGCACTACCTCTGTCTTCGTTTCACATAGGTACACACTGTATTAACTGTCCTCATACAGTGAAGGTGAAAAGTGGTGGAAAAAAGGAGGAACAATAAGGTCATACCACCCTATACAGCAGTTTTCTCTTCCCCTTCTGAGAGCTTATTACAGTTTTACTTGGTTATAAAATAATATTTTGGACACAATATTGTTAACTAAATAAAGCACATGACTCAGTCAGATGGGCCGTCTATTACCACTTGTGACGTAGTGAAATAAGGTAAATAAAATGTTCTCTGGAGAGAAAGTTAAAAAAAAGTATAAATAAATAAAAATCTATCAGTGCTAATCTATAAATTAAACCTGAGTCTGTTGAAGTGTACTCACCAGGAGCTCCACAGTCAGCACACAAGTTGTTACCCGGCTGTTGCACCAAATCAAGGAGAATTTTGTTATTTCTTTCAGAAGTGGCCATCGATGAAGGGCGTCTGCTTCTCTTGGGCTGACAGTCAAATCCCAACAAAACATCTACTAGGTAGTAACTCCATATTGACTCTACACACTTCACAGTACAGAGCTATTCTGCCCTGTAGCAGGTACAAACATCTCCGTGGCCAGTGGGCCAGTATTTCCTCTTAACAATGCAGCATCATGAAGTTTATTGTTCTGCACACAAACACATATATCCAGAAATAACAGAGAAAGGAAGTGAAACATACGTCACTCAGTTACTGGGTGATTGACTTACAGTATTAGGCTGCTAGGCTTGTCGCTGTTCGAAAGCTGTGAGAGCAGCAGTTTTGTTTTTAAAGTTAAGGTCAGCAGCAGTAGCAAGAAAAAGGAGGGAACTTTCCAGAATAGCTCCAAGCTTATGTGCCAGTTTTACAAACAGTTGCAAACTTATAGCCAGACTTTTGTCCTGCATCTAAATTTAACTGCTGCTGTTGTCACGAGTGGCATTCATTTGCTTTAAGTCCTGGGCTAGAATTAAGACTGGATAGGCAGATGTCAGTGAGACAGACAAAACCCACCTTTAAAAATGTACTTTTACACATCGGATAAAAATACCTCCTGTGGGGAGTTGCCACTATATTAATAAAATGTCTATAAGATGTATCTGGTGTGCCAAAATAAATCGTCAACTGCGTTCATACAGCAGATAAAGAAAAGGGGGAGATGCAAATTGCACTATTAATTTAAAAATTACAAAACCCAGAGTGAAACAGAGGAATGAAGTGGGAAAAGTCTGTGTGTCAACTAGCCTGCTTACATTTTATGACCTTGACTCAGTACTCTTCAAACTCGACCTTCATCTTGGCCCCAGCTGCACAACTGTAAAATTTTGTGACTATATTTTGAATTGTTGAGGTGACAAATGCTTTTTGTTGCAGTTTCCGCTGCAGTACGTATCTTCAGCAAACCACCAACCTTCAGATTTGTAGATGAATTTGGGATTGTGGAAAGAGTTGTTGAAGCTAGGTTATTGAGAGAGGTGCTGATCAGAGCGCAGCAGTATGGCTTTATGCTGAGAAAGTTTGCTTGAGAGTGATGACGGAGAAGTATAGAGGTCACAAGGAGTTGCACTGTGTCTTTGTGGATTTAGAGAAAGCATATGATAGGGTGCCAAGGGAGAAACTGTGGTACTGGATGAGGAAGTCACAAGTGGCAGAGTATGAGGGAGTATTTGCGGGTGGTGCAGGACCTATGAGAACAGTGAGGCAGTGGTGAGGTGTTTCAGCAGGAGTGACAGATGGGTAAAAGATGGGGGTGGGATTACATCAGGGATCAACTCTGAGTCCCTTCTTGTTTGCATTGATGATGGACAGGTTGGCAGATGAGGTGAGGCAGGAGTCTCTGTGCACTACGATGTTTGGAGACAATATTGTGATCTGTAGTCTCACCCTAACCGGTCGCAGCAGATGGCCGCCCCTCCCTGAGCCTGGTTCTGCCGGAGGTTTCTTCCTGTTAAAAGGGAGTTTTTCCTTCCCACTGTTGCCAAAGTGCTTGCTCATAGGGGTCATATGATTGTTGGGTTTTTTTTCTCTGTATCTATGAAGCGCCTTGAGGCGACTTATGTTGTGATTTGGCGCTATATAAATAAAATTGAATTGAATTGAATTGTAGTGAGAGCAAGAAGCAGGTGGAAGGGAGCCTGGAGAGGTGGAAGTATGCACAGGAGAGAAGAGGAATGAAAATCAGTAGCAGCAATACAGAATACATACTTGTGAATGACACAGACAGAAGTGTAACAATGAAGCTGCAAATAGTAAAGGTATTGAAGGAAAATTAGTTTAAGTACCTGAGGTAAACCATCTAAAGCACTGGACAATGCACAAGAGGAGTAAAGAAAAGAGTGGAGGCAGGGTGGAGTGGGTGGAGATGTGTGTCAGTGGCGATTTGCAACAGAAGGATACCAGCAAGAGTGAAAGGGGAGGTTTACAAGATGGTAGCAAGACCTGCTATAATGTGTGGTTTGGAGACCTTCACCCCTAAATGCAGCAGTCGAAAAAAGATGGTTTATCATTATGTATTAAACATAAAAAATAATAATAAACCCAGCTCGGGAGTGGACAAATAAGCATTCTGTTATTTATCAGTTATTATTATTATTTGTGATATTATTATTTACTTATTTTGTTTAATTATCTAATTCTTTATTTTTGCCTTTATTTCTACGACGTCCGATACATCGAGTATATGCCAGGGAGGGATTAAGCAGCATTCCGGAACCATTTAAAGTGTTGTTGTGCCACACCGACCAGTTAAAACAGTTGGACACCAAACAATCAGAGGGCGAAGTTGTTCCACCTGCATTATGCCGGCGAGCAAAACCGTCAAATATTCATTTTAACTTCAAGTAACGATAATGTGGGTCGCCAGGCGAGTTTTGTCGTCGCTGGTCAAAAGAAGTAAGAATTTTTAATGCACATATGTCGTTAGCTAGTATCGCCAGTTGTAAAATGTCTTTTCATTGCCAGCCTTTAGAAGTTGCATCTTCTTTTATGGTCTTAAATGTTCATGAACAGGTATACCTTAAGTAACTTTGGCTGAGCTCCACACTCATATTGTAAAAGTTAACACCTTAAACGTTAGACTAAGATTGAACACATGTTGCCCCGTTGTGTTTCCAGGTCAGTATGCGGGACAGTCCGGTTTGTTTTGCCGCCCTCAGTACGGCTCCTTCCCTGAGCTGCGGTACCTTCAGTGCACATGCTGCTGGAGAAGCCGGGTTCCCGTGGCGAGCTTTGAGACCCTTAACGCTAATCTGTCCTCCAGTAATGAATCCTGCAAGGACGACGGGAGCAGAACGCTGGACACCTGCTACACCCCAGAGCAGCGAGACGCTATCCTCCAGCTCCTCAACACCGCCACGTCAGGAGAGCTGGCCGGGATAAAGCTGCTGCGAGGTCGCAAGTCCCTCAACATTGTGGAGTACAGGACTAAAAACGGACCCTTTAAAACTCTGGAAAGTGTGGTGAATGTTCCACTGCTAAAGCACAAAAGTGCTGTCATTGTCTTCAACTCCATTCTCAACCCGACGGTTAAGAAGGAGAGGAAAGTGAGGATACAGCTGGCCAAGTTCATCAGGCCAGAGGTCGACAAGTCTTGGTTAGAGGTGAGCTTTGTGTTAACAGGTGATTTCCGGTGTGTGGTTTGTTTGTTTGTTTTTTTGGGGGGAGATCATATGATTGTTGGGGATTTGTTTTCTTTGTATTATTTTAGGTGTTTTACCTTACAAAATAAATCACCCTGAGGCATCTTATTGTGATTTGGTAAGTAAGTAAAATTCAATTCAATCATTATTTGACAAATAACAGAAATCACTTCTTGATAGACGATCAACATTTGACATATCTGTGTTTGAAATATCTACATTGGTCTGTATGATCACGGGCAATTCTAGGATTTTTTTTTTCTTAATTGTTTGCACTTAATCTTGTTTTATTTGTTGATAAGCCATCCTCTGTCAACAGTGCCCATATTTTGGATGATACAGATGTTCTTTTATGTAATTACATGATCTATGAGAATTATGAACCACATAAGTGGGTTCTTCCTGACTCAAAGTAGGCTTTGTGCACATGATATGCACATAGGTTGGTACACGTGTACTGTTCAAGACTAACAATCTGCCACCCTGCTTAGAAGTCTTTCTCCCTGCTTTTTTTTTTTTTTGTAAACACGTGATAAATGTTTTCATGCTTCAGTAAATTAAACCCCACGTAAACAAATGTAATCGCAGCCCCATTGATTTTCCTTTGGCAGAAGTTTAAATCTTTGGGGCCAACTTTTATGCTTGATACATGATATTGTAAAAATCAAATATCATAGGATGTTAGATAGCTGGTGATGGACTTTACTGTGATAGGGTTTACTGTCTACTTCATAACCTTGAGCTGTTAAAAGAAAATATTAACTATGAAAAGAAAGAGCAGGATAATGCTCTCTAATCATGATTCTGTATTTGCCGATGCAGGATGCCAGTTCCATAGTGTCACTCATATGTGGGACTAATAAAATTGCCTGGGCACACGTGGACCGTGGAATGAGTGTACTGGACTGGCAACAGGTGGACTGTCCGAATTTCCTGAGGGGAACTTACATGGCTTCTGCTTATTTGCATGATGTAAGTACTTTTGTAGAGCATATTATTTCTAGTAAAGTCTAGCTAAATGAGAACGTTAATGTAGACTAACAGTCACTGTGTTTTGGAACTTTGTTTCTGTAACATAATTCATTAATTCTGTGATGCCAACAGGTGTCTTCAGTTGTGGCCCTCCTGCCATCAGCAGATTTCTACATAATAGAGAAATCTTCCATTTCAGTCCAAAACACAGCTCTGTTCCCCATCATGGCACACATGAGGGCTGTGGAGGCCATGCTTTTTGCTCTGCTGGAGCCCAAAAATTCCCTGCCAGAATCCAACATTCCTCCCAGGTGAAGTTAAAAAAAGATATCAAAAGTATTTGGTTTGAACTTGTGCTGGTCACATCTGTAATCCTGCACAAGCGAGCGTGCATGCAGAAACTTGACCCAGAAATTCTCTCCTTTCCTTTACAGGGTTCTCAACATGATGAGGACTGCTGTAGGGCGCCACTTTGGACTGATGGTGGGTGAGTCTCGAACAAGCGGGGCGCAGGCAGTTCGACAGCTCATGACAGAGTCGGTGACGCAGAAGCTTCCCAGAATAAACTTTCCCCAGGATCTGCTGGTGAAGTACAGGAATTCCTTCCAGATGGGCAGCAGAAGAGGAGGGGAGGAACTCTGTGACGCTCTCCTTCAGGCTATAGCCTTTTATGAGCTGCTCAGCGACTGCTCCTGAGAGCCACTAGCTGGACTCGTCTCGTCACCACACAACCAACAAACCTCAGAAATGGCATTCTGAGTTCTTTTGAACTTTTTTTTCCTTTGAACTTTTTGGAGATTAATGATAACTTTCAAGAATTAAATATTTTTATTGTGACTTAAAACACTCAAATGCTGTTTTCTGGGTACTGTTTGAGTATAAGGGCTGCTCCTGTGTTTATTTCTGCTACTAACCCTGACAGGGCAGTGACGGCTGTCATCCTAGCATTTTGTGAAAAACCTGTTTGTGGATAAAACACAAAGGATGAAAAGTATAAAAGTTTGTGTCAAAAACCCATGTGAGTACCTGAGTAATCAGTACTTTAAATTCTCTTAAAATGCTCAGTATAATTTACAAAAAAAAAGGCAAACTTTTTATTTACTTAATGGTTGCACTTGCATATGAATAAAAAACATGATTCCTCAAATAAACCATGTTAATTTCATTTCACAGTATCTGACTAAAATAAATACTGACAGGAGTAAACTGAGGTAGAGATGATGTCAGGTTCAATAGTCTTTTAGGAGTCACGTGAAACCTTCTGCCAGGAGCTGTATAGTTGACTTTGAGAGGCCCAGGTGAATGTTGTTGAGGTAGTTCATACACCTATTGTGGGAGAAATTAGTATGTAAAGTATTAGATAAATGCACAAAATGTTAGATATATTTTAAAGGGATTATTCACTCTTAAACTAAATGTACATTCCTCCACTCCCTTCTGGGGTGTAGTGTTATTTATCAATCTAGATTTCTTATTATGTCAGGCTTATGATTCATGACAGAATCATAGCAGCAAGGGAACAAGTTGTTTTACAAAATGACTTCCTGTGCGGTTTCTCTACAGGTACCTCTGCTTCCTCCCATGGTCCAGACACGGGCTAGTTAGGTTAACTGGAGATACTAAATTGGCCACGTGAAAGTGAGAATGAAAGGTTGTCTGTCTCTGTGTGTTAGCCCTAGTGTGAAGAAGCGGTGTTATTTAACTCTTGTCCCCTTGAAAGCCTACTATGAGTAAATCTTTAAGCGTTTTTTTGAAACGAGTGGTTTCTGCTTATAAAACTAAATGACTGGGTGTGCATCAGAAGTTAGTGAGGGTGGTCTCTGCAGATATACTCCTGGACAAACTAAGAAACTGTTCTAAATGTTGTCAAACCACATCTTCACTGATCTACACTGAGGTGTTCAGGGAGGTTATCTGCCATTCTCTCTCACATGAACTTATTGTGATATTACAACCTCACTAGTAACATAAAATCCATCTCCATTTCCTGTCATTTATGATTGTCCCCTACTTTCGGACTCTTAAACCTTGTGTCTGACTCACCTCAGTGGCTCTTGTTTCTGTTGCTGTGCTTTATGTAAGCGGCAGATGGAGCGGAGGACCGGCATGTAGTCGACACACACAGCCTGTCTGTTCCCCAGCAAAACAAAGGGTTTACTGCTGAGAACCGTCCTGTTCAGTCTGAATCTTCTTTGGGACAAACTGGAGGCACGGGAACAAAGAAATTGGTGTTCTGCTTTATAATGTGCACAATATTAGAAATGTTTAGTGAAGCATCCACGTGCATTCATGAGCCCCCCTCATCCTGGAGCGACATCGCAGGTAGAATGAAGTTCTATGTACTTTTCCACTAAAGATGCTTTGAGTTATTTAACTGAAATTGTTAACCTTTCATTGGTCAGTGTCTTGTTTTTTTTAAATGGATTTGGACAAGAATTTATCAAATGAGTGTCATGTAATGGCGCTTTCCCTTAGACTTGCATCATAAAGCATTTAAAAGAAGTCAACATCCTTGAAACTTAAGCAACGATAACTAAGTGTATGACTGGACAACTGAAATGGCAAGATGGTAAACAACTTGAAATGGCATTCAGAAGATGAGGTGGAGAGCAGACTCACCTTGGCTCACAGAGAGGCTGAAAACTAAAGCTGAGACTGTGTCTTTTAGAAGAGGTCAATGCGAGTCTCTCCATCAGCCTCCCCCACCTTTTGTCCTCCAGCACCTGTCTGATTTTTTGCACTTCAGTCCATGCTTCAGACGCTCTGCACAAGCACCTGTGACACCCCAAACCTTCAGCAGCAGCCTGAATGTCCAACAGCTTCTCCTGACTGTAGCTGCTGTCCTCTCCCTCCCTCATCTCATTCAACAAACCAGCCTTTAGTGCCGCTCCTGTCCACACAAATGACTCGGGTGCGCAGGAGTCGGAAACACGTGTCCCTGTGGGCGGCAGGGTGGCATCGAGGTAGGACATGATGTCAAAGAAGTCAGTCAGGGCGTCTAAACACTCACTCTCCTCTTTAGCTGCAATTTGTTGAGCCGTACTGCCTGAGTGCAGAGCTTTTGAAGTTGTCCCACTGAATGAGAATGTTTTTTCAAGGCCCAAACTGTCAGATGATGTGTTGTTATACTTCCTTCTGCTAAGCTTTGACGTATGGCTTACAGATTTGCTGTTGGTCAGTGAAGCCCTTTGATAAATGCTTCTATTGTGCTGCTCGATGTGAAGCCCAACATCAGATTGCTCGCACTGCAGCCTGGAATAAGCTACTGTTTCCAAGCATCGAACCGTGGTATGCTGAGCTGCTACAGACAGGAGAAGCTCCAGGTTCAAATAGAGAAGCGGCACGCCTTGTCTCCAGCTCTCAGCGAGAAGCATCAAGAGCTCGTCCATGTGCTTTTTAGACGAGGACTGAGAATCAAAACACGATAGATCGGAAACGTTAATTTCATTTGGAGAAATGATCATGAAGATTTATGCAGAGAAACAAATACTTGCCTTTAGAAGGTTCAGCAAATGTTCTGGAGTTACACCGCAAAGACCCAGCATGTTAGCAGAGCAGCCCGTTTTGTACGGAGGCAATGAGTCTAAATGTTCTCCTTCGGCAGCATCAGAGTCTAAAACAGGAAGATTTACAGAGAATAACATACAATTTTTTCTTTTAAATGTTATTTATGCTTTATGTTGGAGAAACTTACACTGCACACAGATGGGTTTCTTAGACCTTCCACCACTCTGCACCCAGACCTGCAGCTGCAGCAGGCAGCGTCTGACATCACCACAGGTGAGTCTGAGGAGGCTGCTGACGTCACCTAAATCCAGCTGCACTCCCTCAGCCAGACACACCAGCTGCAGGTAACTGCACATATTCACCTTCGAAAAGATGGAGTTAATGACAGACTGAGTTATTTTTCTATTAATGAAGTTCTAATAACATTTTTCTTCTTCTATAGCACAAACATGCAAGAAGAGAGCGGCGCTACTGTCAAACACATGCATGCAGTTGTCATTGAAGCTGTGTGAGGCGGTCGAGGTAACTTTGACTTACTGCTGATGGAGTTTTGAAAATTATTTCATCCAAGCTGCCGTCGAATCGATCCTTGAATAAGGGATCTGAGGAAGACACTAGTTTAGAACCAACAGCTCATCTTTAAAAGTGAAATTCAAACTCTGCGTGTGCGTCTTTACCGTTTGTAGTCAAAATGACTGGTCTTTTAGTGGCACTCATAAAAGCCTTAATGGCTGCAAGGAAACCGACGTCATCGTCAAATATAACGTCAACCTGCAAGAGCAAGCGATAACAGTGAATCTGAAGCAAACACGGTTAACGTGTGGCTTTATATGCCAAACGGTGTCGTGCTCAGAAATGGTTTACCTCTTCAAAGAGAATAAGTGAAGTGGCTGTCTTTTTCTCTGCTACATCAGAGCCTGATGATGAGTTGACCAGTTTCTTGTTCTCTGGCCTTTCAGATGGTGACAGGAAACCAGACTGTAAGTGATCTGCTTTGGCCTTCATCCTAAAATAGCGAGTCAGAGTGACTGTGGCTGATTTTGCTTTTGCGCTGCGACGAGAGCCTCTCAAATTCTGTGATGTTCTTCTTTTTGAGGTGGAAGTGACATTTTTAGGAAGCGCCCTTTTTCCTGTTAACAGAAAATATAATTACCTGTACGGTAAAATTGTGCCTCTGTTGTTTTTCAGTAAAAGAACTGAGGGCTCTGATTACTTGTGTTACAATGAAAACAAATGATCATCACCTAGTAAAATCTCAGATTTAGAAGTGCAGGTGTTGGTGTTGAAGTAAGCCGGTTTCAGCTGGTCTTTCCCCGACGTCTCCACTAGGTGTGACTGGGTCACCTCCTTTAGCTGGGACAGAACATTGCGCCCATTGCGCTGTGAGGAACAGTTCACCTCAAACACCTTGGTTGAGAAGAAACCAAAGCATTAAGACTAGTGGTGGAGAAAAAAATTTATGGCAGGTTTTAGTGAGAGTGTGAGAAATTTATCTTACTGGATAAAACAGAGAATGACACAGTTTAACTCTGAGGACATAATTTGACAAAAAATTGTCACTGTGAGTGAAGTGTTGTGATAATATCATATTGTGGGGTGTCTGGTTATTACCACCTCCAGTGGAGACCTGATCAAAGTCAAAAATGTCACATTTTACCAGTTTTAAAATTGGAGACTCAGAGCATATCAGGTGTTGATTTTTTTATAGGTACCTTCTGGGATGAGCCACAAAAATTTCAACCAGTAGAAAAGTAATATATTGTGAGAAGGATTCAATTTTAAATGTGAACTTCTGTACATTTCATATTACAGCTGTCTGTTGCCATTTTAAATTAGCTGTTTAACCACAGCTTAGTTTCATAGGGGTCGTTTGTTTTTATGTAAAGTTAGTGAAATCAAACTCATGTTAAGGATCATCGTTATTAATATTACAATGAACTAAACAGGTTATCTACGGGGATTCTTTGCTTTACTTAAATGGGAAAAAGGTTTTATTGGACATGTTTGGGATGGTGAACTGGCATTAAGATTCATCCTAACATGAATCCATGTTTGGTGGAACTGATTTCTCACAAGCCTTTGACAGCATCGCTTCAAAAACACCGGACCTTTTTGCAAATCCCACCTTGAAGCCCAGCTCCTGAGCACAGGCGTACACCGAAGCAGTCTTGCCCACACCCGACGGTCCTGTAATCAGCAGGGTGTTACCCAGTGGGTCCTCTCTGCCATCGTCTGATCCAGCTTCA